TTAGTAAGGGAGGGTGTAGAATACTGCAAGAATGTGCTTTAACTTGTACACAAATGAAAGTTTTTGCCACTGCTTATGAGCACGAATTTAGAGAGATAGAAGTGAATGTCACTTTTGGGGTATAGTAGACTTTTCTGCTTACCCTATCATTTCTTTAGTTTGAAACTCATAGGCACATTTTAAAGTGTCGGTTAAACGTGATGGAGGTGAAGGAAGTTTGTCTTTTTTAAAAGACAGACTTTAATTTGATTTCTTCCGTATCTCGCTTACACTCGTTAATGGTTATCAAGCCGACTGTAGCATAACGATGCCCACCAATTAGTTCAATGAATAAGTGAAAGGACCAAAAACAAGATGTCCAGAGAAAAGTTATGATAGAAACTAGATTGGGTCGTGTTTTAATCAGAGTAAAAGTTCATGAAAAGATTAGATGAAGCCAACGGACAAGATTATGTAGCTTTCTTATTATAGATTAAAGTGTAAATGGAAGCAAGAAGCAATATTTTGTACTGTGAAATGGCAAACATCAAAATTTTCAGTCATGTTCCGGCCAAAAAACTTGTAATCCTTCATTTTAAATAGTTTTCGCCTTTCAAGATGCAAAACGCAATCGCTCATTTTACTCAACTGTTTATCAACCATTTAAGGAATCAAAAGAGGCAACTTCCTCTCATTTGAAAGTACGGCAGGCAATCCTCTCATTGGTAAATTATGTACCGTGATGCGAAAACAGTGTATTCTTTTAACCAGCTCACCAGACCCAATCGTTTATTAAGAATTTCCTTTATAAACCAATTTGACAAAGGATTGCTACATCAACTGCTTGTTCCTATCACACTCTACAGAGTAGTGTCAGCTCAGTATTTCAATGCCGAAATAGATGAGCTTTATTTCTCTATCTGACCGAAACTCGAAATTAGTTGTACTAAGAGTTTGTTACACTTTGACCACTATTATGGCGTACTTCAAAGAAAAATATGCATTAGTCCATTGCGGCAATTTTTTGTGCTCTGGTTAGTTTTCCGACTTTCTAAAAGCTCAAGTAATCAAATGTAAGTCGAACATGATAAACGTTATTGAGGTCTGTCTGCTTCAGGAACCTAATTTAATTCAGTTTTATAACTATATAGGAAAAGTCCTAAGAAGTCTTCCACTCTCAGTAAAATGC